CACCTTGCCTGGGGGGACAAGTTCAATCGGTGTCAGCACAGCAGATTGGAGCCGAGATTATAAAAACACATTCCTGCGGAGGGAGCTGGTAGGCAACGTTGGGTTGCTTTGTCAATGGCCTGCAGGGTCAACGGCGGCGTGGTGTATTCCGCAAATATGCCCGACTGTGAGGGCGGGCACAGGCCGGCGTGAGTAGGTTAAACGTTGAGTTTTATAAGGGCACCACGGGGTGACCAGCCCCTCCCCACCCAGCCCCACCCCTCCCACCCCCCACCCAGCCCCACCCTCCCCACCCAGCCCCTCCCCACCCTACCCCTCCCCACCCAGCCCCTCCCTGCACGACGGACGGACACAATAATCCCCTGTGGGCTGGTGTAACCAGGAGGTTCCTACCAGTAAAACGAGGTCTACTCAACACACCAGACATTAACACCAAACGATAAGCATCGCAGAGGTGCCTTGGTCAGACTCTACAAGCCTTAGTTATAAACATTAGGGGCCGTCCATAAATGACGTCACGCACCTGGGGGGTAGGGTCAGACATTTGTGACGATGTGTGACGAGGGGGGAGTTTGAGAATGTGACGTCACATCAAAATGCGCAACTTTAAATAAATATAGAATTGTTATAACAACACTAATTGTTATAACAACACTCCTACAACATCAGAGTGCAGCGCCAGATTAAATAGTACTACAATGACAATAGTTAAATTTATTTTCAAAATGGAAATATGGTTTTGGGCGGGGGGGGGGCAGAGCGTTGTGACGTCATATTTGAGGGGGGGGGTCTGACTTTTTGTGACGCCGTGTGACGAGGGGGGGGGGTAAAAAATCGTCCAAAATCGCGTGACGTCATTTATGTACGGCCCCTTAAATTACAAGAGCCTTATCCCAGCTCTATGAGCCTAGTATTTAAGAAAGGTGCATGAGTCTGGATCAATGAGCATGTTTAAAAACGCCCGCCTTCACCAACCCACGGTGACCATCGTGGTGAAGTATGGTCAACAAACCCCCACGACCCGCACTGCGTGGCGGGGCCCTCATCCAGCAGTGGATTGACACGTGCTCTGATTTCTTCACACACTAAGCCAGACACCAAATGATGGAATTGGCCAACCATCCACATGTAGCAGGATCCTCGCGAGAATGGCCTTGAGACTCAATGAGGTCTGCCTAGGCAAATAAATGCAATTGTTATTACCTCTTCCATTAACACCACTACTAAAATGTAATACTTATAAAGTGCCTTTCACAGGTGATAAACAAAACACACACACGCCGCAGGCTCACACCAATAAAACCCAATCCTAAAACAGAGGATTCAATAAATAGTAATACATTTCCATGTATGTTCACGTGACCACTTTGTTTATTTGGCTGTGTTGGGCGGAGGAGGGAGTACAACACACGTATGTATGTGTGTCTGTATGTTGAACTTCTTACGCACCGTACGTAGCCTGCTGTGCTAATCGGAGGTGTGAGGGGAAGGACAACAAACTAAACACAAAAAGCAGTTCTAAAGAAATTAGTTTTCAATCTAGATTTAAAAGTGCATGCTCTCGTGGCTTCCAAATATATTTATTTTACTCACGCAATCTGACCGAAAAATCAATTATGAATCGAAACACAACCTATGTAATTTTCAAAGCAATTGTGTCGGTAATCAGAAAATAATGGTTGTGGAAATTGCGTTCATGTTCTGGTTTAAAAGGCCGAGTTACCATGAGAACCTTGACGCGCATGTCTGCACGGCCGATTGTATGATTCTAAATTGATGTTTCGGTTAATGAATGCCATGTATCCAACACCACAAATGCTTTATTCGCTTAGCTTTTGTCATTGTGGTGACAACTCAGATGACTCTTGTGAATCGTGGTCTCTTGAGTTCTCACGAGGTCCCACAAAATCAACTTAAGACTATTTCTCGTGCCAGAAACCCAAATCTGACCAAATGACAGCATGGAGCTTTTGACTGCGGTGAAAATGGTAAATATATTCCAATAATGTAACTCTTTAGACATGATTGTAAGGTTTATGTCAGGGCCCACTATTCGGCCTTGTCATCACAATCGATTTTCTGTTAAATTCCACACTTGTTTTGTTAAACAATTCCACGCGCTTTGGATTTATAGGCATCTAACATTTCAGCCGCAACTCAACAAGCTGGGCAAAGTAACAGGACGTGTGCGTCACAGGAACCACAACAACAGGAGGAGGAGGGTATCATGAGTGTATATTTTAAGTCGTGTCATTTGAAATTGGTTTATGTTTTCCATAATAGAGGTTTTTTTGGGTTAGATCGCGTAAATATATAAATGTGTTGTTAAAAGCCGCCACCACCCGACACAGCCAACTCGTAAGGGCTGACACGTAAACAGAACATGCCGATTCGTCACTAGTACAGCACTAGTGTGTAGTGTAGTGTGTAGTGTATAGTAGTGTAGTGTATAGTAGTGTAGTGTATAGTGTAGTGTATAGTAGTGTAGTGTATAGTGTAGTGTATAGTAGTGTAGTGTATAGTGTAGTGTATAGTAGTGTAGTGTATATTGTAGTGTATAGTAGTGTAGTGTATAGTGTAGTGTATAGTAGTGTAGTGTATAGTGTAGTGTATAGTAGTGTAGTGTATAGTGTAGTGTATATTGTAGTGTATAGTAGTGTAGTGTATAGTGTAGTGTACAGTAGTGTAGTGTATAGTAGTGTAGTGTATAGTAGTGTAGTGTATAGTGTAGTGTATAGTGTAGTAGTGTATAGTGTAGTAGTGTATAGTGTAGTGTATAGTGTAGTGTATAGTGTAGTATACTAGTACAGCACTAACCGGTGTGTTGGAGAGCCAAGCCACAATATTTACAATCTGGGTACGGCATTTCGCCAGTAATTACAACTAGCTTCATCAGGCGACAGCCAGATTTGGGTCGGCAACAGGAACCAGTGCCAACAATTGCCCAACGTCTGCGGTCCTATATTCAGATGTTTACCTAACTCCATTAAGGTCACTGCATAGGCGAGATAGTCTGATACTGGAATAGTCAGTGGGACCTGGGACAACGACAGCGATGTAGATGTGGATATAGTTAACAAATATATAATTCCCTTTATTTGTCCAGGAAAGTCTGACCGAGTTTTAAAACTCTTTTTGGGGAGACGGGCATTGAAATGTTCGGCCAATTTGTTTTGTGTGTGTAAGAAGAACGAAAAACCTGGAGAAAACCCCATGCATTTGAGGTTACACTCAGCACTGTGTGTTCTTGGCCACCCCGCATTTCCATGCCTACAGCACCATCCAGGTACTTACCAGGCTCCAACCCAGCTTAGCTCTCTCAGATCTGGTGGATCAATTTGGTGACACTGCGTTGGCTGTGATGCACAGATAAGCAGAACAGAAACTCAACACATTTGTCAATAACGCTGTGGTCTTAAAATAAAACACGTTCCTTCGGAGTGGGCAGGTAGGAACTTGGTTGGACAGCCCATTCGTGCACGACAGACAGAAAAAATTAACCTGTAAAAACAAAGTTTTACACTCTAAATCCTTTATATGCGTGGCGGCTAGAGTCCTTTCGTCCTCTGGCTTGAGATGGCTGCCACCTATGGGTCAGATGATTTCTGCCAGCATTAAGCAATTGGTAATTAAATATTTTTAAAAAATTCCCTAAACAGTGTAAAATTTTGAAAAAAAAGTTTTCACTAAAATTAATTGTCACGCACAACGAGTCTGTGTCGAGAATGTCAGCTCGATTGGATCACGGGAAGTGGGTTAAAAAACGACCGAAAGATTTGCACGGTCGTAAGCAAGCAAGCAAGCACGCAAGCACGCAAAGCAAGCAAGCGAACTTAATATAAAGGATTTAAAAAGAATCCCTGGTGGGCAGTGTGGAACCTGTTGTTCCTACCTGTAAAAAGATGCATATTGGGTGTAATTTCAGGCAAAGAAGAAGAGCCATTGCCCGAAACGTTACCTATTTTCGATAGTTTCCCTCCAGAGCGACAGTGTTAATGATGAAAGGGTGGTTACATTTTTGTTTTTTATCTGATGAGATCACGTGCATTCACGGGAGTGTTACCACCAGTCCAGGTTTGAGCCAGTGTAGTCCGGGTACTGGCATCTGTGTTTGGGTGGCAAGGGTTTGATTTATGCAGGTAAAACATTAAAGTAAAATAAAATATACGTCGTGATTTTTATTTTATTTTACTTTTATTAATTTTAATGTTTTACCTACGTGACTTTACCGAAAAAACCTAAGAATATGAATCCTTGCAGTCACGAAAGCTTCAAATCTAGAATTGATTTATGCAGTTTCGGTATTGCTGTGTGGGCGCCGTGGTGGCTATGAGATGTTATCTCGCTCGCCTGGTATGCAGGAGGTCGTAGATTCGATCCTAACCCTGACACCTCTATATTTGGAGTTTGCGTGTTCTCCCCGTGGTCACGTGGCTTTAGAAGCATGCATTTGAAATATTTCGCTGCTAGAAATTTGCACGTGATAAGCCACTTCGTTGAGCTATCATTTGTGGCCAGGTTCCTTCTGAAAAAGAGGCCTTACCTGGTAAAAAAAAAAAAGTTTTGCAATTAATAGTGTTGAACTTTATTGCAGTAAACTTCACAGTTTTGATCACAGACCCAGGCCAACTGAGAAATGTTCCCGGGATTGGTCTGCAGTGGAAAAAGTCTCGACCCGAATTGACAATGATTTGGTCTTAGGCGTTGAATTGTGGCTAACTTTGCTTTGTGAGATTTGTGGCATCACCCTGGCAATCAACGAGGTGCTCTTGCAAAGTATTTATTGATCTTCAGTTAGAATTTCAGATGCAATTCCCTGCATTCATTCAAAATACACCATTAACCATCACCTTTTAGCACCAACAGTTAATTCTCCACTGTCGGCTGCAAACACGGGCACTGAAATGGGAGGGGAGTCGATAGGTCGTTGTCGGGTTAAAATTTTTTTTTTTAACTTCCAGCTACGTAACGGGCGCTCGTCTGTGTGTATATTACCACCTAACAAAGCCCGACGCTCACTTAATGGAGTGTGTTGGTGGCTTGTTTATAATTAATTTACTCGCTGCCCAGCAGGCAGCCGATGCTGCTGCTGCTGCCCCCATGGTGGGGGTCCGGGCGGCTGTCGGGGGCGCCGCGTGCCGCCCTCTAGCGGCCGCGTCCCGGCCGCGCCACTAGCCGAGCCCCGCGGCCACCCAGCGCCTCAATGGCGGCCTAAGGCGGCGCCCTCCCGTGTTGGCCTCCCGTGGACGCTCGCGAACGCATCCGACGTCGGCGGTCAGAAAGGAACAGCGCATCGAACCCTCGGGTCTCTCGAGCGTCCGGGCGGCCTCACAAACGGGCGTCCGGGACCGATTTTATCGGCGGATGTCGACGGATTGTCCCGCTGCCGGGCGGGCCGGGCCGGGCGGGCCGGGCGGGCCAGGCGGAGCGGACAAGGCGGGCCGAGTGGGCCGGACGAGGGCGCGTGCCGGCCGGCGGGTCCGGCTAGGCGACGGCGAGGCTCGGCCGCGGCCCCGGGGAAGGCGCTAGGCCGCTCATGGCGGCCGCGGACGGGGAAGGCGGTGGCGACGCGCAGAGGGAGCGGAGAGGGAGGCGGCTACCGAGCCCCGAAGCGTTCGCGAGTCGACCCTGGGCCACCCTGGTGGACGCGGCCAGGGTTCAGTGCGGGGATGGTGAGCCATGGCGGTTTCTTTATTGTGGGTGGTTTTGGGGGGGCGGTCGGTCGGTCGCTTCGTCATCATCATAAGTGGGGGGACACGGGGTGATGATGATGATGGTGGTGGGGTCGATCTTGCGGTCGCTTGTGTTGAGTGGTGATGTTGGTGGTTGTCGTTGCTGTTGCTGCTGCTGGCGGTGTTGCGCTTTGGGTCGACTCGGCCCCGTCAGAGGAACGTGCAGTTGGCAGCGCTCGCCCCTTGTGCACCGCGCGCGTGGCTGTCCCGTCATGTGAACGTGGAATGGCCGTCCTTGGCTTCAGTGTGTTACGCTCGTCGTTGTCGTGATTTGAATTATTCGACTGCGTCATAGTAATGTGGAATGACTCCTGTGCGTGGTACGATTCGGCACGACTGACCCGTCACGGTAATGTGGAATGACCACGACTGGCCTCCTTTACACCTTGCGCGTGCTACGCGTTGGCATGACACCGCCTCGCCATAGTAACGTGGAATGACCGCTGCTGGGCTCGCCTTCAATGCGCGCCTCGCAGACGCTATGTTTGTGTGTGGGGGGGGGGGGGGAACATGGTCAGTGCATTGGGAAAAGTCTGGCACGGGTTTTGTTGCGTTTCGTGTTGTGCGTGGCGAACGGGCGAGGGCGGTGAGGAGTAAGTGACTGTGACAGCATTTGCCACATCAGTGGCGTGCGTTGTTGTGTTACTGCCGTGTTACGTTACAGATGTCTGTTACAGCATCAGGCGCAGGCACTTGACCATCGTCGCGGTCAGTCAGGTCGCCAACCATTGCATCATTGTGTCTCGTTCCACGCGTGCACCACTCAGTCCTCCTTCAGTCACTCATTCCCCACTCGCGCGTTGCATCTCGATCTGCATCCTTCCACCGTCGTTCCATCATTTACCCCAATCCCAACCCATCCATTTACCCCAATCCCAACCCATTAATTTACCCCAATCCCAACCCAACCATTTATCCCAATCCATCCATTTATCCCAATCCCAACCCATTCATTTACCCCAATCCCAACCCATCCATTTACCCCAATCCCAACCCATTCATTTACCCCAATCCCAACCCATCCATTTACCCCAATCCCAACCCATCCATTTATCCCAATCCCAACCCATTCATTTACCCCAATCCCAACCCATCCATTTACCCCAATCCCAATCCATCCATTTATCCCAATCCCAACCCATTCATTTACCCCAATCCCAACCCATCCATTTACCCCAATCCCAATCCAACCATTTACCCCAATCCCAACCCATCCATTTACCCCAATCCCAATCCAACCATTTACCCCAATCTCAACCCATCCATTTACCCCAATCCCAATCCATCCATTTATCCCAATCCCAACCCATCCATTTACCCCAATCCCAACCCATTCATTTACCCCAATCCCAACCCATTCATTTACCCCAATCCCAATCCATCCATTTACCCCAATCCCAACCCATTCATTTACCCCAATCCCAATCCATCCATTTACCCCAACCCATCCATTTACCCCAATCCCAATCCATCCATTTACCCCAATCCATCCATTTACCCCAATCCCAATCCATCCATTTACCCCAATCCATCCATTTACCCCAATCCCAACCCATTCATTTACCCCAATCCCAATCCATCCATTTACCCCAACCCATCCATTTACCCCAATCCCAATCCATCCATTTACCCCAATCCATCCATTTACCCCAATCCCAATCCATCCATTTACCCCAATCCATCCATTTACCCCAATCCCAATCCATCCATTTACCCCAATCCATCCATTTACCCCAATCCCAACCCATTCATTTACCCCAATCCCAACCCATTCATTTACCCCAATCAATCCATTTACCCCAATCCCAACCCATTCATTTACCCCAATCCCAATCCATCCATTTACCCCAACCCATCCATTTACCCCAATCCCAATCCATCCATTTACCCCAATCCATCCATTTACCCCAATCCCAATCCATCCATTTACCCCAATCCATCCATTTACCCCAATCCCAATCCATCCATTTACCCCAATCCATCCATTTACCCCAATCCCAATCCATCCATTTACCCCAATCCATCCATTTACCCCAATCCCAACCCATTAATTTACCCCAATCCATCCATTTACCCCAATCCCAACCCATTAATTTACCCCAATCCATCCATTTACCCCAATCCCAACCCATTAATTTACCCCAATCCAAACCCATCCATTTACTACACCACTCGATATGCGACCCCCCCGGTGGCTCAGGGGTAGAGCGAGAGCTGCACTAAGTCGGAAGGTTGCCAGTTCAAATCCTGTTCCAGGAGGGGGGGGTTCAACTCTTCAAATAAAAACAATTTATTAACACTTTGTAGGGAAGTAAATTGTGGTTTAACACGTAGGCTTTCGCGACCAATATCATCCATAATAGAGGTTTTTTTGGGGGGGGGGGTTTATCGACACATTTATATATTTACACGATCTAACCCAAAAAAACCTCTTGTAAATTGTGCTTGTCCCATGGGGTGGACTTACTCCCGCCATAGGAATGTAGAAGTGCCCATCACTGGCTCAGGACTGTTAATGGGATGCGCACCATCTCAATGCTCGTTTAGGGCAGCACGTGGCTTTGACCTGACTTTCACATGGGCACTTTGGCCAGATAGAAGGGGCCACTTGAGTGCCGCGTGGACTCGTGGCAGCCCCGGTGATGTTTTGATGTTGACCTTGGAGGGAGCTGGACGACTGCCTGGTGACAGCGGCGAGCCCAGTGCAAGGCGTCCATCGATGATGATCCGATCCGTTGTTTTAAACTGCGCTTTGGCACGCTCGCGGGACACGCGGGGAATCGCGAGCGCAGGAAAGCCGTAATTTTTCTTCGTGAAAAACGCTGCCGAATGTTTCCTTTAAGGCTAATGGTTAGAAAAATGCGCGCGCATGCGCGGGAGAGAGAGCGCGGGACAGGTGAAACGGAACAAACGAGAGAGGAAGTGCGGACGAGATGGCAAGTACAGACGGAAAGGAATGAGACCCACTGTACCAAACGATGAAGGTGGTACAAAGCTGACCGTACGAATGAAAGGCAGCACAGACGATGGGACGGGCAGTCGAGACGGTACAAACGGGGCAGAACACAGTGCAAACTAGACACGCTAGACATGCAGGACAAATTAGTCAATGTGGAGCAGATGTACCTTTGCAACCAAGGCTTTCCGTCGAAGCTGCCAGTCAAACTCTACCTGCATAGTCTGAACTTCCTCCTAGCCGTCCATGCTGCCGACTCCCCTGCCCCTGACTGACGACCTCTCTCTAGAACATAGATTTGCCCAATATCTTGGTACAGTGTCGGTAGGTGCGGGTTGCATTTAGATGCTCCAGTAAATAAATCCACGTATTGTGGAGACCCATAGACTTGCATAGAGACCCATAAATTCACACGGAGACCCACACACAATTGAGACAAAATACACTGCAGTTGATTCTTGAATCGAATCATGACCTGGAATCATGACAATTCATAAAATTCTCATTACTCTTTATCTGGCACACCACCACACCTCTGGCTATGACAGTGGCTAACACGAACGTGCCACCTGCTGCAGTCTTTTTACCAGTGACGTGAAACATTTTTGGTGAGCACTCAGGCTCTGGTCACGAGTGAATTGTTCTGTGCCCAGCGAGCAGCGTGAGGCCCGTATTCTTAGTCACGGCTGAGCTCAGGCTTGGCTCTGCCTCAGCTTGAGCCGGCACTGAGCACGCTTCCCAGCCACGCTCAGGATTTCCACGGAGCTCTGCCTGAGCTGGGCTATGGCCGAGCCGCTCGCGCGTCGCTGAAAGCAACGAAGCGGCTTCGAGCCCGGAGCATTAGAGGCCGAGCCGGAGCCGAGAACAAGGCCCTGAGGGTCCCTGGAGGAGCCACGGGGGGACCCCCGCATTAATCGTCACGAGGCGTAGCGCTGACACAACACGTGTAGCACCGGCCAACGCGAGCGTGGTGAGCGGACAGCGCGGAAACGCGCGGTTCATCACAGCTGCCACAAACCCACAGCACACGGGCCTGGTCCCGTGACCTCTTGCACACGGGCCTGGTCCCGTGACCTCTTGCTCGCGGGCCTTTGCCATTCCACCGGGAGCCTCGGCTTGCACCTAGGCAGGCACAGGTCACACAGGGCAAGTGGTGGGTAATGGCGGCCGAGAACGAGGTGACGTTTTTATGTCGCACAGGGTTTTCCCACAAGCTCAATCTGCTGCTGGATGTAAGCCCACGCCATTTCTGTCACGGGCACGGGGAGAGAGGGGTTTTCGCCATACTTCACCATGCTGGTTAGTACAGGTTGGTGATGGAGGAGGCCCAAATATCACCAGCCACAGCCGGGAATCGAACTTTGGTCACAGTAATAGTGCGCTGAATACTGAGCCACTGCTCTTGCCCCTTGTATGTGTGCACATGCCAACAAACAGGTCATATTGGTGGGGTTGCTCAGTGTTTTGTGGGTGCTTGTGTGTGCAAGCGGATGTGAATGTGTGTTTTCAGGTAAAAGGTCACGTGTGTTTGTGTGTGTGTAGGAGTGGCTACAAGCCTTGTGACTTGCGGGTCATTCCTGGCCACGGCAAACATCAGTAACGAGCGGTATCGGAGCCGCCGCTAGGTTGACGAGGCCTGAATGAGGAGCTGGTGTGATGTCTCAGAAACATGAGCACTGGGGAGATGAAGGCAGCGAGGTGTGCGTGGTACTGGCCATGCCCTCATGGCTTTAATGGGTGCTCGCGAACAGCATTTGGTTTTACGACTAATAACACATGTGTTTGTGTGTGTTTGTGTGTGTGTGCATATGTATTTGAGGAGCGATAGTGTAGCGGTAAGCGCGCTGCGCTATGAACCCGGCCACCCGAGTTCGATTCCCGCTCACGGCCAACACCAGTGACGATTATCTGAACCGGTCCTGGGCCACCGCTAGGTCGACTCAGCCTCAAATGAGTACCTGGTGCGGTGTGTAAACATCACCACTAGGGAGACGAAGGCGGTCGGGCGTGGTGCTGGCCACCCACCCCCTCGTGTACCGTTGCGGCCTTCATAGGTGCTCGCTAACAGCACTTGCCCCTACAGTCTGTTAAGGCTATACGGGGGATCTTTGTCTTTATCTTTGTTTGTATTGTGCTCCTCTCTCTGTCCCAGGACCTTCTGACTGGGAGGATGTTGGTGCCGCTGGCACTGGAAAGGATTCGTCGCACAAGAACCGTGAAGTCATGCGGCTCAACAGAGAAGGTGACGCGGTGGGGACGTGCAATGCGTGCGATCGGTCGGACCTTGACCTCGCTAGCTGGATGGCTTAAGGGGGGCAGTTCCACAAAGTAGGGAAATCTCTCGGTCACAAAGTCGCAATCATCCAAACACATTCAACTCTCAATGATTTTCCAAGCTCTGAGAATTTTTTATATCGGTTTTACTGTCTTGCGACGCACCACGCCATTCTCTATAGCAGAGAATCTGGGAAACCAGTGCGCCAAACTCTGTGTGTACCAGAGGTCACTTGAAGGGACCTCATTAGGTATTTCTGTGATAGCTGCTTCTATGGGCTGGGCAGTTAACACGCAGTGAGGTGGCACAGTGGGAAACAGGTGGTGCATCTGCCAGTCATCTGAGTTGTTCAACCCATGGCACCTGCGTCTGTCCCGCGACCTCCTGTCAGCAGCGAGCCTTCCACACGTCACGTGACAGCCTCATAGTGCACCTAGCCTGGCACAAGCACCTTCATGGTGACATCGTAACTTGATGGCGAGTGGCGGCTGCCGGCTGCTTGAAATTGTGCCCAACGCACGCGTGGGTTCATTGTTGATTTTGTCGTAATTTTCCAGCGTTGGAATTGTTAAAAACATTTAATAATCACAAATAATTGGCATTGTGCACTAGTATTCTTATTATCATCATCTAATATACATTGAGGTTTTATCTCAGCTGTTTTTTCTCCATGACCCTGTTTTTTGTTTTCATATTGTTTTAAACCTAAATTCCTGCATCACAACTATAATAATACAACTGCGTACAATTCTGCGGTGGTGCTGATCTATGGCTCTCCGCTGCATGTTCAGGTCGTGCCACCACCGCGTGTTGGTCGGCGCGATGTTGTCTGACGTTTGGCCCCACGCGCTAAGAGCTTCTTTGGAAACTGAACCTTCATCAGGAACTGAAGAAGGTTCCAGCGCGTGGAGCGACGAGTCGGACAACATCGTGCCGAACAACACGTGGTGGCACGACCTAAACACACCGGATTGTAACGATGATAATATTATTCTAGATATATATTTAAACATGTGTTCATTTGGGAAAGTTTCTGGGTGTGTGAAGACTGTTTTCAGCAGGGTTCCCGTTTAGTATCTTGGCCCTGTGTTTGATAACTTAGCAAATATACACATTACAAAACTTGGATTTTGGTTTCTATCTGCACCACATGTGACATGCATGTATGGGCACAGCTCATTGTCAATCCACTGCTGGATGAGGGCCTTCCCCACGCCTTGTGGATTGTGGGAGCTGTTTGACCAATACCACACCGATCAGTGCCGGTTGGTGAAGGTGGGGAGCATAGTCATTGGAGCATAGTGCAGTCCAACAGTAGATATTATATTGCTGCGCTGTCCTCTGCTGATAACATGGCCCCATAGTGGCCTATGTAAGACATGTACATGGTGGTTACCCATCCAAGCACTATCCAGGCTCAACCCTGCTTAGCTTCTGACCAGATCGGGCGCATTCCGGGTGATTTGGTTTCATAACCTGTTTATCAAGAAAAGGAGGAGATCTTCACCCAGTCTGAAGAACTGCTTCTCTGCATTGGCATGTTTGGCCAACTCCATTGATGAGAGTTTGGCTTTGTGGGGGAGGAAAACGGAGAACCCGGAGAAAACCCACCACGCATAGGGGTTAACACTCAAAGCACCACACAGATAGATTCAAAATTCAAGCGCTGTACTGCTACCTACTGGGCACTATGTAGCCCAAGATCACCTGGCATTCCCATCCAAGTTAAACCCAGGCTCAACCGTGCTAAGCCCTTTGAGATCACGCGAGATTGGGTGCACGTGATTGGGCCTTCCCATTGACTACTCGTGATGTGACGCTCCATCGAGTCGTGGATTCAAATCGGTTCTGATGTTCACTTAGTACCTATACACATTGAGAAGCGCGCGTGAGGTTATGTAAGATTCAAGCAATCGTCGTGACATAATTGGTTTCTTTTGAGTTAGAGCGTGTAGGCATGATGTCAGAGCTATACCCCCTCCGCCACCCAAGACAGCCAAACACATCAGTCATTGTCACAAACCGGTTACCATGAAAAAGCAAGATTAAATTATGAATCTTAACATTGATCACGAAAGCCTGCGCATGGAAATAGTTGCCGTTAATCACCAGGCCCGAGCCTGCTTGGCAGGCCGTCGTTGACAAAATGGAACATTGCGCTCGAAGCGATACGTCCATCGCACGCCAGCATTGCGCTTTACATAACAGCTCCGTCACAACGACCCTGCCCATCGCTGCTTCTCCGTGCGCACTCACGGACACATGCACACACACCCACGCACACACATATGCACGCACGCACACACATATGCACGCACGCGCACACATGTACATGTAAAAACAAAGACGGAGAGAACCTGTAGCACCATGCAAGTTGTTGGAGCAAGAGTTCCGTTAGCGAACATCTATGAAGGCCGGCACAGCGCACTGGCGAGGGTGCAGTGTGGCCAGCACGACGCCCCGAGCACTTGATGATGTGTCCTGGTGTTGATGTGTTTTCTATGAATCGTACCACCTACTTGTATAAGCAGGCCCCAGACCGGTCCCGTTATCGGTCACAGATGTTAGCGTTGAGTGGGAATCGAACTCTGGTGGCAAGGTTTGTAGCGCAGCGCCACACGTGTGCACACACCTACATACGCGTACACATGCCTACACACGCCTACACACACCTACACATGCCTACACACACCTACACATGCCTACACACACCTACACACCTGCACATGCCTACACACACCTACACGCCTACACACACCTACACGCCTACACACACTTACACATGCCTACACACACCTACAAATGCCTACACACAGCTACACATGCCTACACACACTTACACATGCCTACACACACACCCACATGCATACACGTGCGGCACGCACACTTGCACACATGCGCACGCACGCCCGTCGCGTTTACGTAATGCAGCCGTCCTCCAGTGTCGTGGCCAGACAGTGCGTGCGAGCGTGTGCCCGCGCGTGTGTGTGCCTGCGTGCGCCTTTGTGAGAGGGTGTGCGTGTGTGCCAGGGAATGCGTGCGGGTGTCGTGTCCGATCATTCTTTCGTTCTTTTTTCCATTGGTCCGTCTGTCTTTTAGTTCAGCACGGCGGTTGAGGGTTGTGCTGCTATAGGCGAGGGGTCAGGTGGATGGGGCAGGGGTCAGGTGGACGGGGCAGTGTGCACGTGTTTGTTGGTTCAGGAGACGCTCAGCCTATAACTGAGTTTTATCTCCATCATCGATGATGACGACGATGGCAGTAGTAGGAATAGTGCAGGTACTGTGCCGTGTAGCTGTGATTAGAATTGTTGTTTGGCTATCGGTAACAGCACAGTGACATTAGTAACAGCGTAGCTCAACAACTAACGGCTTAGCTCCACCCTGACCCCTCCGACACCTCCGCTGGAATCACAATAGCCGCTCGATGCCGCTGCTGCTGCCCACTCTCAAAATATTTTGCGACCAATTATCTCCCTTTCACAGGCTCGTTAACGGCTCTTTAATAAGGCGACTGGGGTGCGAGGAGGGGTGGGTGGGCTGTGCCTCCTGGCAGCTGTGGCGGGGATGGGGGGGTCGGTTCCTCCCTCGCTCGTTAAGGGCCGCTTAATGACGTGCTTTAACCACCGCTGGGATAACGGGCACTCGGAGGCGTTCCGCGAAGGTTGTCTCAATTGCCGTCACCATTTAGCCAAATTAAATTATGTTTTGTTTTTTTAATTTATCAAACTGGACTTCTGCACGCCGACAGCCTGCCCCGTGCAGCCTGCACGCCGACAGCCTGCCCCGTGCAGCCGGCACGCGGACGTTCTTCAAGAGGCACTGGTTCAATCTCCCGTCGCGGCAGTTGAAATAATGGGGGACAGATTTCTTGCTGGGAGTCTCCACCCAGCAGCGTCAGCAGGTGCACCGCAGCGAGTGGGTCAGCAGTTCGCGTGTGTCGTGGGGTAAAGTGTGGGTACACTCCTCACCCACCGCTCCTCAGACAAAATATCCTCTCTCGAAGGCTGTCTCAAGCTGAGTTTCTTTCCGTTAGCAGTAGCGTCAGTAATACATTGCAGTCTTGCGCCTTTACCTTTTTAGATTTTTTTTTCCAGTTTTAAATGTTAATTTGACAGACACTTGTGTGTGTACCTCTAGGTGTGGAGAGCGGTAGTGTAGCGGTTAGCACGCTGCACTACGAACCCCGCGACCCGGGTTCCATTCCCGCTCACGGCCAACGCCAGTGACGCTTATCTGAATCGGTCCTGGGCCTCCCCTAGGTCGACTCAGCCTCAAATGAGTACCCGGTGCGGTGCGTAAACATCGCCACTGGGGAGACAAAGGCGGCCGGGCATGATGCTGGCCACCCACCCCCTCGTGTGTCGTGCCGGCTTTCATAGGTGCTCGCTAACAGCACTTGCCCCGACAGCCTGTTTAGGCTACACGGGGGATCTTTGTCTTTGTACGTCTACGTGCGCGGTTTCTGGTTGACTTGTTTTTTTAATACAATCTATATGAACTTGGTTGGTGTTTGTGCCTTTCTGCGATTACAGTAACTGTACTGGTGGGAAAACATGTAGAGAGGTAACAGTCGAGCAGGCGGATTGGTGAAGCTATCGGTGCTTTTGAGTGTCACCCCCTCCTTGTCCACAGTGCGGTTTTCTCCCGAGTTCATCCGGTTTCCTCCTACGTGAAGGCCAAACTCTTAATTAGTGGAATTCGTGGCCAAACATCCCAACGTGTGCAGCACCCTCTCAGCGAGGCTTTTCTAGTCAATTATAACTGATATTTCCTTAATAAACAGGTGATGTTATATTTCTATCATGTGTCTCTCCTCAAGTGCACCAGACGAACCTAAACAATGATGTTTTGTGCAGTCATTTGGAATGTTGACAATCACAACCGCCACCACCATCACCGCTGCTGCCTCTACCATGGTCACCACCACTAGTACGATCACCACGACCACCATCACCATGACCACCACCACGACCACCACTACTGCCACAATCACCACCACGATGACCATCGCGACCGCCACAACCACCACGAACACCACCACAGGCACCCCCACTTTCACCACCACGATGACCATCGCGACCACCGCTACCGCCACAACCACCACCACGAACACCACCACAGGCACCCCCACTTTCACCACCACGATTACGCTCGGCGTCACCGCCATCACCACCGCCAGGCTCCCAAGGGAGGCATCTGTCTAGGCTGCCCACTCTCCCTCCTGCCTGCCGTCTGCACGAGCCTGCGACGGAAACGTTTTATTAAGTAGCCCCGGAAGGCGGGCAACCATCTCGCCGGGGAGTGTGTGTGCATGTGTGCATCCGTCTTTGTTTTTGTGTGCGTGCGTGTGTCTTTGTGCGCGTGTGCCGAGTCGGCCTCGAATGAGTACCTGGTAGGGTGTGTAAACATCCCAACAGGGGAGACAAAGGCGGGCAGGTGTGGTGCTGGCCACCAACCCCCTCCTGTGCTGTGCAGGCCTTCATAGGTGCTCGCTAACAGCTGTTGCCCAACAGTCTGTTAAGACTAACGGGGGAGTGTGTGTGTGTGTGTCTGCCTTCTTGCGTCTGTGTGCGTATCTTTGTGTAACTGCGTGCGGTGCGTGTGATGTTGCTCATTTAGAGCTGGAGGCCGGAGAAACCAAACGTGTAAATGTTTGGATGCAGATATGAAATCCGTTGGTAATTAATTATTCACGCAAATTTAACAGAGTTGTAGTTGCATTGGCAGTGGCGCACCATCGCACACAACGAGGAACTCGGCACCTTCGTCAAGGACACCGTCTCCCTCAAAAGAAAAGATAGCACAGGCAACGTTTCGGGCAATGGCCCTGCTTCATAGTCACATCAATTATATTGTCTCGCGGGAAAGAACAAAAGTGTACGCTTACACACGTACAGTTCGTGGCCCGTTGTCAATCCACTGCTGGATGAAAGCCCCCATTGAAGGCGTTCATTCCCGCACCGCGTCGGCGTCGCGGTCCAAATTTCTAATTTGTACAAATTAAATAAAAATGTTTACCCGCACGGGGGAGAATAAAACGCGCGCGGCAGCGTCGCCGCCCCCCGCGGAAAACCCCGCGGCGAAAGGAGCAACGGAGGGAGCAACGGAGTGGCGAGACTCAGCGAGGTTCCCCCCGCCGCCTCCCCTCCCCCGGGTCGTCTGCCCTCGCTAAGGAGCGCGGCGCGAGCAGCCGGCGCTCACCGTCCCTGACCGTCCCTTGCGCCGTCTCGTTGCAGACATGCACCTGTTTGGACACTGCCCCTCGCAGGACGAGTTCTACCTGGTGGGGTGCCGGCTCTGCAGCCGCTTCCTCAAGCCGCAGGCGCTGCAGGCGCACTACGGTGAGTGCTCGCGCGCCCCCGGGGCCCCCGGGGTGTCTGCGGCCGGCGCCATCGGGGCGGCGAGGGTGGAGGTGGCGCGGTTGGTGACGCTCGCGCCTTGCGGCAAGAGGTGCCCGGTGTTCGGTTCACTCTCTGAGTCAAGTTTGTGTGTGGTCTCCCCCTGTTCTGCAGAGTGTGAGTGAGTGAGTGGAGTTTGTATGTTCTCCCCCTGTTCTGCAGTGTGGGAGAGAGAGTGTGAGTCGAGTTTCTATCTTCTCCCCCTGTTCTGCAGAGTGTGAGTGAGTGTGTGGAGTTTGTATGTTCTCCCCCTACTGTGCAGTGTGAGAGAGAGGATGAGTCGAGTTTGTGTTTGTCCCCCTGTTGGGCAGAGTGTGAGTGAGTGGAGTTGATATCATCTTCTTGGTCCTTTCGGTAAAGTCACATAGAATGGAAATAATAAAATAATAAAAATAAAACGTAATAAAATAATTCTCACGACGTGTGTGGAGTTGATATGTTCTCCCCCTACTCTGCAGAGGGTGAGTCGAGTTTGTGTGTTTGTTCTCCCCCTGTTGGGCAGAGTGTGAGTGAGTGGAGTTGATATGTTCTCCCCCTACTCTGCAGTGTGAGAGAGAGGGTGAGTCGAGTTTGTGTGTTCTCCCCCTGTTGGCAGAGTGTGAGTGAGTGGAGTTGATATGTTCTCCCCCTACTCTGCAGTGTGAGAGAGAGGGTGAGTCGAGTTTGTGTGTTCTCCCCCTGTTGGCAGAGTGTGAGTGAGTGGAGTTGATATGTTCTCCCCCTACTCTGCAGTGTGAGAGAGAGGGTGAGTCGAGTTTGTGTGTTCTCCCCCTGTTCTGCAGTGTGAGAGAGAGTGTGATTCGAGTTTCTATCTTCTCCCCCTGTTCTGCAGTGTGAGAGAGAGGGTGAGTCGAGTTTGTGTGTTCTCCCCCTGTTGGCAGAGTGTGAGTGAGTGGAGTTGATATGTTCTCCCCCTGTTCTGCAGAGTGTGAGAGAGAGATTGTGAGTCGAGTTTCTATCTTCTCCCCCTGTTCTGCAGTGTGAGAGAGAGGGTGAGTCGAGTTTGTGTGTTCTCCCCCTGTTGGCAGAGTGTGAGTGGAGTTGATATGTTCTCCCCCTACTCTGCAGTGTGAGAGAGAGGGTGAGTCGAGTTTGTGTGTTCTCCCCCAGTTCTGCAGAGTGTGAGTGGAGTTGATATGTTCTCCCCCTACTCTGCAGTGTGAGAGAGAGGGTGAGTCGAGTTTGTGTGTTCTCCCCCAGTTCTGCAGAGTGTGAGTGGAGTTGATATGTTCTCCCCCTACTCTGCAGTGTGAGAGAGAGGGTGAGTCGAGTTTGTGTGTTCTCCCCCTGTTGGCAGAGTGTGAGTGAGTGGAGTTGATATGTTCTCCCCCTACTCTGCAGTGTGAGAGAGAGGGTGAGTCGAGTTTGTGTGTTCTCCCCCTGTTCTGCAGTGTGAGAGAGAGGGTGAGTCGAGTTTGTGTGTTCTCCCCCTGTTGGCAGAGTGTGAGTGAGTGGAGTTGATATGTTCTCCCCCTACTCTGCAGTGTGAGAGAGAGGGTGAGTCGAGTTTGTGTGTTCTCCCCCTGTTCTGCAGAGTGTGAGAGAGAGATTGTGAGTCGAGTTTCTATCTTCTCCCCCTGTTCTGCAGTGTGAGAGAGAGGGTGAGTCGAGTTTGTGTGTTCTCCCCCTGTTGGCAGAGTGTGAGTGAGTGGAGTTGATATGTTCTCCCCCTGTTCTGCAGAGTGTGAGAGAGAGATTGTGAGTCGAGTTTCTATCTTCTCCCCCTGTTCTGCAGTGTGAGAGAGAGGGTGAGTCGAGTTTGTGTGTTCTCCCCCTGTTGGCAGAGTGTGAGTGAGTGGAGTTGATATGTTCTCCCCCTGTTCTGCAGAGTGTGAGAGAGAGATTGTGAGTCGAGTTTCTATCTTCTCCCCCTGTTCTGCAGTGTGAGAGAGGGTGAGTCGAGTTTGTGTGTGCTCCCCCTGTTGGCAGAGTGTGAGTGGAGTTTACATGTTCTTCCCCCGTTGGGCAGAGTGGGCGAGAGTGTGAGAGTGAGTGGAGTTTATACGTTCTCCCCCTGCTTTGCAGTGTGCGAGGGAGTGTGAGTCAAGTTTGTGTGTTTCTCCCCCTGTTGGGCGGAGTGTGAGAGCGCGAGAGTGGCGTTTGTGTGTTCTCTTCTGGTTCTGCGTGGATTTCCTCCACGTTCTCTGGTTTCATTCCCTCCAAACAAACAACACACAATGTCGCTGGCATTGGCCAAACATCCCGATGCTGAAACATTACCTGCAAATGACTCAATTATAATTACCTGCAGCAGCAATGTCGCCCCTTCATCGAAAACTTGGCAGGGCCCTCCTGAAAACGAGTCTCGAGACTCGGTGAGGCTTTGTTTGGTAAACAGGCACGATCATGATTTAATGCTCTCCACAATCGCACGAACGGTTATTGTGTGTCGTGTATTATATAACTTTGCATCAAACTAGTAGTCTTATGTTAGAGGGTCCTTGGCTGTAACATCTAGCAGCTCGCCAGCATTGCTTAAAGCTTGCGGTGAATCAGTCTTGAGGCTCGGTGAGGCTTTCCTGTGTAAACACGCGTCATGATGTTGAATAATAAAATAAGCCCCTGTAAGAACCTCAGCCAGGTCCCACACAGTACTCATCCTATTAACTGCAGTCAAATCCCTTCGGAGCCTAATTCCGGAACAAGCAGTCACGGCCAGGATTCCTATCGCCACCCGAGACCAGAGGTCGCAAACGGGTTTTGATTCCTTACCCGTACCCGGCCGCACCAGGGTCGGAAAAGGGTACCCGTACCCAATACCCGGCCGGGTAAGGGTAGCCGGGTATCGGGTAGGGTACGGGTATCGGGTACCCGATTGCGACCTCTGGGATGAAGCCATGTTGCAGGCGCGGGTGGGTTGATTCTAGGAACTTGAATTGTGAGAAGAGACAAGACGTTGGGAAATGAGTGACAAACGGTTACTCACCAGTGACTCACGGTCTACCCGTACCCGTACCCGGCCGCACCAGAGTCGCAAACGGGTACCCGTACCCGGCCGGGTACAGGTAGCCGGGTATCGGGTAGGGTACGGGTATCGGGTATCCGGTTGCGACCTCTCCCCGAGACCCCATCTCTCCGTGTATCATCGGTCATGTCATGCGTCGCTCTACGTCGTTGGAGCTTGAACCTCACGCCATTAATTCCAAACGGTGATTACAATAAGTGGCCTCATGCTATATATTTAAAACAAGGTTTTGCTGGCTGGCTTCCTGCCTGTGTGGTGGTGACGTCACCGAGCACATCAGCCGTGATGACGTCGCCCGCCTCCCCACCCTCGACCCGGCCGTGGATTCCCGCGCAAATGCGAGAGAGGAGGGAGAGGAGGGAGGTGAAGGAGGGCGATAGAGGAGGGAGGAAGATAGGAGAGCAAAGGGGCAGGGAGAAAGTGAAACGGCGTGAAATGTAGAGGAACATAATGAATGTCTTTGGGTTAGATCGCGTGAGCATAAATATCTCGTAACCCTTCACCACCCGACACAGCCAATTAGTAAGGGATTTGTCAGGTAAACACAACGCCGATTAGTTACTGCTTCAGCCCACCGGTGTGTTGGAGAGTGAATCGACAACACGAGGACAGCGAGGGAAAGTGACAAGCAGTGGGAGAGGGAGGATTAGGGATGAGGTAAGAGATATTGAGATGAGAAAGGTACGTGTGGGAATAAGGGAAGTGGGGTGAGAGGTGAGAGAGGGAGAGAGATGGGGAGAGAGATGGGGAGGAGGGGGAAGTGAGGGGACAGAGGGATAGAGGAACAGAAACAAAGCAAGACATTGCGATGTACAGTGCAGAGAAAGCAAGAGAACGGTGGAGAGAGACGAGGCTCCATTTAAGAATTCAGGTTTTGCTGGGTGGCTGGGAGGGACGGACGGACGGACAGTCACGTCCAAGAGACGCCCGAGGTTGCGAGTGATAATTAAAGCGATGATGACGGTGATGATTAAAGCAGAACGAAGTGACATTGATGACGTATGTTGCTACGCGCCAGCGTGTGCCGCCACGGCCGGCGGCGCTATGCTCGCGGCTCCAGTGGGAAGGTTCCGGTGGTTCTGGCCGCGGGTTTGCGGGCCGCGGATGGCGACGGCGATACCGCCGGGGTCGCGGCGGCGGCGGCGGCGGGTGACCGCACGCACCGCGCAAAATTAATCTCCGCTCTCGCGTGAAATCGGAGAGTGGCGTGTGGCCCCTCGCAGGCAGGCGGCTGCTCGCCGCTGCTCTGCTATTTATTTATTTTTCTCTGTGCGTAAGCGGTTTGGCCGGGTGGGAGTGTGTGGTGGGGGGGGGCGGGGGATGTGGTGGCGGTGGCGGCGGCCTTCGATTCATCTCCCGCCAATTTTCGCCTGACCTCCTCCACCGTGACCCCTTCTCCGTTGCCGAGTTGTCCACGGGGGGCGGGGTAGGTGGAGCGAGAGTGGGTGGACACGGTGAGGGTGGGTGAGCGGGGTTGGTGTGTGGGGTAGGTGGGGTGAAGGTGGGTGAGTAAGGGGGGTGAGGGTGAGGAAGGTGTGATGAGTGTGGCTGGGGGTAGGTGGGGTGCGGGTGGGGTGGGTGTGGTGTGGGTGAATGGATGGATGGTTTTAGATGGGATGAGGGTTGGGGTACGTGGTGTGTGGTTGGGGTAGCTGGGGTCAGGGTGGGTGGGTTGGGGTAATGGGCGATCGCGATGAATCATTCTCACGAGGTGGGGCGTTATCGAGGTGCTTGTGTGGTTTTTGGGGTGCACGTTGTGAATGTGCCGATGGGACTTGCTGGAGGGGTGGGTGGATCCCGTGGGAAGGAAGGCGGCGGTGACGGTGGTTGCGGCATGGAGAGGGGGCCGGTTGTGGAGGGATCTACGCATTTCTCCCTCGCTTCGTTAACCGCACAGCCGGCGTTCAGCGCTGAGCCTCTCCACGCCCCAAACACCGATTGGAAAGCCAAATTGCCGCTCCACAGCCAATATAGACCG